TGACTTCAGTAGTAAAAGGTGTCGGTGTAGCTGTACGTTGGGACACAGCCAGACACCTGGAGAGCTAGACTAGGGCCTGGGCTGAGTCCCAGGCACGTGGCGGGAGAGTGGCTATCTGGCATCCAGCCACACCACGAAGCTCACAGCCTCCTCCCTATCACCTGGGTCATGCCATAGCTGCAAAAGATGAAGATGTTCCTCAGGACCCACACAAGCCCAGAAATTGTCCCCAGACCAGCATAAGCAATGAGACTTGGGGAGCTTCCACCAGGGCTGCAACACTAGCTAAGAGGTTAGCTCGAGGGGGCAGCAGAGCTAATAACTTCCCAGAGGGGCTATAAGGATGGTCTGCTCCAGAAAGGCAAGGAACACAGCTCCACTTTTCAACTTCCGGCCAAGTAGGACACCCCTCTGCGCAGCTACCTACTATACAGAGGGTAACTGCTGAAGAAGGACCTACAACTGTAGGTGCAAACACTGGGACAAAGTGGATGCCTGAGCAAATATGTTCAGCATGGAGAAGGATAATGAGCCCATCAGTTATCACGAAGGAACATGTTTTCAGTAGCAGTGAAAGAAATAAGCAGTAAAAAAAAGTAAAAACACACAAAGAACAAAAGAGCACCTCCTTCTCCAGCACGGTCCTGACTCCGGGCAGCACCAACCCACTAAGGGGCCATCGTTTCGGCTACTCCGCTGCTCACCCCCTGAAAAGGCGCCACCCAAGCAAGATTCAGGAAAGCAGGCGACCTGGAGAGGTGAGTGAGGCTGAAGAACAGGGCAGGGCCAGGGTGGAGGCTGGGAAAGGGACAGCTCCTCTTCCTTCCCAGAGCCCGGCGCCCTGGCAGAAGCAGATACAGGTATGTGAGGCCTGGAACTGACACTGTGTAGTGCACCGCCTTCACAGAAAAGAATAATTCTACTTGTGCAGATTTTCTGAAAAATATCACTCTGTGAACTTATTCTAGGACCCCTCAAAGGGGATCCCTTGCAAGAGGGGCATGAAAGTGAATTTCTTTAGTTTCCCAGTAAATCCTCTTTATGTCTTTGGCTTCAGGGAAGCCCTTCCAATGAAGTTCTGGAAGATGAAACTTTGCAGAGGGAAGAAAGCCCTATCTTTAAGAAAGCCTTATCTTTAGAAATTCTGCCATTAATACAAGTGTGTCATTAACACAATTACATGTGTTGGAATTTTTTACTTCTCAAAGCTCTTTCATTTGACCCTTACGATACTGTGTGAAGGAGAAAGAGCAAGCATTTTAACATCTCACCTTCATCCCGGAAAGATGCACCGATTGCCCCCCATATGCCTGCTGCTGTGCTCATGCATGGGAGAGAGCCATGAATAAGACCTGGTCCTGCTTCTGAGGGGCTATAGTCAGGCGGACAGTCCATACCGTTAGTCCCGGATGTCTCCCATCCAAGTTTCCAAAATGAAGCATCTTCAGACTTTCTCACCACGTCTCAATTTTGAGGGGAGGAAACTTGAGGCGCAGAGAAGGTGAACAAACTGGCAAAGGTCAAACACCCATGAACAGTAGGAGAAGCAAAGCAGCTCTGACTCATTTTATGTCAACTATGTCCTAGATGTTCCCCATCAGACATCCCCAGAAATCATTTCATTAATACTCACAGCACAGCTAATTTCCATATTTCACATAAAGAGATGACCAAGAAGGAGCAAACTCGTCCAAAATACATTCATAACAAGGGCTAGAGGCTGAATTTGCTGCCCAAACAATTTTAACACAGGGCTCAAAACTCTCACTTACAAAATACTAGCATGTTCCAACCTTCAGTCATTTACAAATTACTCTCACATAGCTTACCATACTCACACAAAAAGATGCATTTTTTACATTAACTTCAGTTATGTTTTTCTATGTATATCACTTTAACCTATAATAACCATGATATTGCAATTTGATGTGGGTTAAAATTAAATGTCGTGATCCATGTGCTGCCTAAAATCATCTCAGATGTCACGTAAAACTCACTCAAAGCAGCAATCACCTTCGTCAGTCTGCATCTCACAGGCTCAGCATTGACCAACGTCACTCTTTCTATCGTTTCTGAGAACTTGTGCAGTATTTGCTTCTTTGAGTTGCCGTCATAATAAAATTTATGAGGAACGAATGCTTCTCACACTGACTCCTGAACATCAGTTTAGCCACCCCTCAGTCTGTGTGCTTGTACTCTGGTTTAGTAACAAGACAACAAAACGTCCAGAAAGTTCCAGTAATTCAAAAAATGAATAGAACATCTCTGTAGCTTCCACCTTTGCTCCTAATTAGGATAGTTTCACAGATATTTAGAATTTTTTCTGTGGCTGCTCTCTCAAAACTGGAGGGAGAGCTTTCCAGCTGGAAGATTATTAAAACAGTACAATAGTACACTGCATGGGGCAGTGAGGGTTTGGCTGTATTCAACTCCCAGAATAGCCCCTTCCATGACTGTGCAAACTCCAGGAATTTACTTCTCTTTTCAGGATCAGGTTATTCGTTAGAACCGAAGTTTCAAATTGTTGTGTACACCCCTAGGGTCCTAGCATCTAAAACCATTACTGGGAACTCTCACGTCCCAGGGACTAGTGTCCAGTGAGGTTAACAGTCTCTGGGAGATGGATCCAAGACTCAAGCCTTGGTCCCCCAAATATCAAAGACTTGGACAAGAACAAAAAGTTATTCATCAATTTCCCAGATGACAGGAAACAACAAGAAGCAGCAGATGTAAAGTACGACAAAACTAGAGCCCAGGGGCTGGGGATTTAGCTCAGCGGCAAAAGCGCCTGCCTGGCAAGCGCAAGGTCGTGAGTTTGGTTCCTGGTACCGGAGAAAAACCAAAAAAAAAAAAAAACTAGAGCCCAAAATGGATTTGGCAGGGTAAGATGGCGCAGGGAACCTAAGAAGGTAAATTAGGAAAGTGGTATTTTCTCTCCAATTCAAAAAACTAATGGCCCAATTAAGAAAAGGAGAACAAGTAACTCGCAATCCTGTGTATTTTTTAAAAATCTGTAATTGTGGTTGATTGCACATGGAATATGAGTCAACAGTGCCGTGAATGCCAAAGAGCCTAATGCAATCCCAGATTGCGTGAACGGAAAGATGGTGCTCAGAGAGAAGGAGGCAAAAGTCCCTTTCTTGTCTGCTCTAGAATACTTTTCTACAAACTTCAAGAATGACATAAACACCCTGAGATACAACCAGAGGAGAGACAGAAATCTGGGAGGAAAAGTACTCTGGAAGAGAAATGGAGGACATTTAGCCTAGGAAAAATCAAAGACTCCGGGAAGAAAAGGCAAACTCCAGGAAGAGAGGGCTGTCTTCAAACTTCCAAGGGTAATGGAATTAGGCTTAATCCCTGGGAAGTATAACATGGAGGTAAATACTGTAGCAACTAGAGCCATCAACATCCAAACTGAGCTACCATGAGAGGAGCGGAGTGTGTACAGTATAGAAGGTGAACAAAGCCAGAGCACTGGGCCAGACCAGCTCCCAGAGGCTTCACACCCTGAGAGAGACAGTACCAAAGGGCACCTATCCTCCTGGGAGTAGGAGACCAAATACACACAGGTCTCCGAGGAGGGATCAACACTGACATACCCCAGCCTCAGCATCTCTCCGAAATGTAAAGTGCTATTCAAAGCCAGCCAGATGTTACTGACTTCCTCTAGAAAGATGGAGCATTTCTGTACATCTCCTTCTAGAATTGAGGCCTGGATTTGTGTTGTAAGCCAAGCAAGGAAAGATGATAAGAGTTTAAGAACTCATTGCAAGGCCAAAAGGAGGACATAGTGGGTAAATTAACACTGATACGCCACAATAAAATCAGGCAAGATCTCCTCTCTGCAAAGCCATGAAGAGAGGAATGACCTCTTTCTTTTTCCTTAACTCATGTCCCAAGTCACTCAAAAACCGCCCAGCTGAGAACTCCTCACACCAACACAGGAGCCCAAGCACAGCCACACCTCTCTGCTGTCAAGCGTCAACTTCTGTGTACAAACCCCAACGTGGCTTTGCTTCCCTTTGTCATAAAGCCCCACATTGTCCACTGCCTTCTTTCCGGCCCAAGGAAAGTGCAGTTCTGTCTGCCCAGGAAAAAGCTCCACTCGAAGCCTGGTTTAAACTCTAGCACTTTATACGATTGTTTTGCCAAATGAATCACAAACTGGGAGACCTTTCAGCAAAGGCCAGCTCACTGCATTCTTTCCTCAAACTGAGTAAGAGTACTTCCCTGGAGCAACAGCAGCAAGTGGCCTGTGATGGGGCAGAGTGATTCAGTACCGACACCGCTGAGAGCCACCAGCACATGGTGATAACAAAAAGCAGACGAACTCACACAGGCTTCGTGATTGCTTCTAAATTCTCTAGGCTATGCACGCCATCCTTGCCTGCACCTGGTAGACTGCTCCCTCCGGCCTCTGTCCCTTGGCAGGCCAGTGTCCAGGAGGTTATGCTGTGACTTCTGCAGACAGTGCCTCAGTCAGCAAACAGCCTGCTCCTCAGACATGCCCCCAGTGTCATGCAATGAGCTGCCTGGGCACTTATCAGATCAGAGGCAAACATTTTACTTTTTAAAGATCAGAGCTCCAATGTCCATCAGACTAAGTCAAATGAGATTTTCAAAATAAATGCCGAACTTTCACTTCCCTACACATTACAACTTTAAGTGTTCTTATATACGTGCAAGTATCCCCTTTCTATAAATCTGTCAACAGTATGATCGACTCAAAATACACAGCTGAGAGCAGCCTGTAGCCTCACTCCAAGCCTCACGCCAAACCTGTGCCATTCCTGTCTCCCCAGAGAAGGCCAATCCACTTACCTCCTATGGTACTGGGATTTTCTAGGGTATTTTTTCCCAATGCCTCCTTCAGGGAAGCCCTACTGCCCAGCAACTACTGGGCATCCCTTAGGGAAGAGCTAAAGAAAACAAGCCCCCGGCCACCTGGGCAGGTCACTGTCCAATTCCAAATGCATACCCAAAGGGCTTTCACTTACTTGGGTGGGAATTCTCGATCTGCTTTAACGTCCTCAGAACTTTGTATATGTCCTTCATGCTGGTGTCTTTCTGGCTGTATAAAAGAAGCCTCCGAGCATCTGAGAACAGGCGAGACACACTGTAAAGAATGCAAGGAAAGGAGAAAAACTCTGGTGAGGTCAGCTGCCTCTCACTTTGAGAGCGTGCCTGCCAAGTCCACCTGCCCAGCGCCTGGTTTCCTGGCCCCCCACACGCTGTCCCTGGCCACTGCTTCTGCTCCACTTGTCCAGCCTCACTGAGAACCAATATTCCCCCATCCGTGCATCACCTTTGCCTCAAATGCCCTTCCTGTGAGTCTATACACTATACACTTGAATTGCCTTGCAAGCTCAGTCTAACACGCGCGCGCGCGCGCGCGCACACACACACACACACACACACACACACACACCCCTTCACGGCAGACTTATCTGCTGAGGCACAGTATACCAGTGCCTAGAACCCAGGATATTTTAGAAGCCAATGAAAACATTTTCATCTTTTAAAAACTCAGAACTCAAAATAAATCTCCTAAGCGTACATACATAGTAATGAATCTGCCATGGGATATTTTCCTCTTTACACCAACACAGTCATAAAATGCAATTCTTAATATTTTTGGATGGAAGAAAAGGCCCACGAAGGCACCAAAGCTTATAGCCCACGAACTTTACAGGACAGCCCTGCCTGCCTCGGCTGCACACCCTCAGAACCGTCCTGAAGCGGATCCTACTGGGCATGATCCTGTGCACTTGAAGACTCCTCAGGGTCTCGTTTGGCAGAACTTGAAAAAGCCCCTACTCAGGTTCAGCATCAAAGCTAAGAGGTAGCAATGCAAAAGCAAAGAAAGCAGTCTCCTGCTCTCAAGGAGCTCCCAACCAGGGAAAAAAACCTTGCAGACGGGGTTGACGCTGACGTCTGCCAGGGTAAGGGCAGCGACCTGAGAGAAGAGGACGGACACTCTCAAGCTGGGCCATAAGCTCCCTGAGGGCTGGACCTCTGCCAGTGCCTGCCTTTGTGCTACCCAGACCCCAGTTCTGAGAACGTGCCTCCCCAGTTTCTGATGTGTTGTAAATGCCTGCTGAACGAGTAGACTGATTATTAGGCAGACCTAGTGTCCTGTGTCTCCCCTTCTTATTAAACAGTTTTTGGAGGAGCAGCCTCCAACTAAATAGCTTTTGGTTGCATGCCTTGGTTACTCCCACAATGCATCAGTGTAATATCCCACAGCCTTAAATCCCGCAGCAATTCTCTCTTCCTTTACCCTACAGACTCTCCGTACAAACCTGTCCAAGAAGGCATGGGTAAGTATTAACTGACAAGTCTGTGAACAAAAACCTGATCTGGTACTTACATGGACTTGTTAAAGTTTCCAACAACCCCAGGAGCCTCACCAGGAGTCGGGTAACGGAAACAGGGATTGTTGGCATTACAGATGATCCCCTGAACCCAAGGAAGCGTTCCTGCAGAGGGCAAGGCTTTGTTTGGAAAGTGGCCTGTTGAGATAGAGAAGAAGAAAAACACAGGGAGAAACATTAATTGTCTGAAACAGCTGAGACTCCACCAACATAATGTTTTCTCCAAACTGATCTTCTCATTCTCCAGATCCCAGAGATTTGCTCCTCTGGACTAATCTGATTCTGAGTTGGAAACCCGGCATCAGATAGTGGTTCTTAACCTGCCTTCGCACCATCTGTACAGTGGGATCCATGACACTAATCTCAGAGAAGTGACAAATGGGGTAGATTGGGCCATATACAGAAAGTTCTGGAATCTGGCAAGCACTTGGCCACCATTAGTTGACTTTCTACCACCAGCCTCACCCATCAGCAACACAGAGGGACCTTGGGGGCATCCTACTCCAATGCCTTCACATTCTAAGAAGGAAACTACACCAGGTTAAGGTGGCCAATGAAGAACACTGAGGGGGCCAGTGAGAAGGACTAGAGGAGAATTTACACCTCCACAACCCCAATCCAAGTCCCTTCCTTATATCTGCACCCTCCTTCGTAATCCAGTTCTCCTCTAGTACTTTCCTTAGTTTTCCAACTGTTTTAGTTTTGTCATCTCTGCCAACTCAAAAGCTTCTCAAGGGCACCTCAGAAACCTGCTCAGTTGGGTTCAGATGTCATCTGTCAAGCTACATCTGTTTTGTCACTCATCAGAAAAATGAGGCCCCATCCACTAAGTCACTGTCTTCACCCTCACCCTCTTCTCCACTACAGGAAGTTTCACAAACAGGATGATGGGACATGTCCAGGCTAGCGCCAATACTTCAAAAGCACAAGTTGGTTTGTGGCAGTCGTCCATGAGTGCTGCTTATGAGATCAAGATAAATGTACCCCACGGCTCTTAACCCAAGGGCCTGTTCAGGTTTGGACAGAAAGGTCACAGTTCCAGCTTTGATCATTTTCTCAGGGTTACTTGTGACTGATAAAAGCTGACAACCACTAAGAGCCACAACGCTGGGCAGTGAAGAACTTATAGCTTCACACACTTTTGAGGTCAGATCAACTGGGATTCACACGAAGTCACTCATCTTGCTAAGCAGCAATTTTGGCCACATAACTGACCAGTCGCCTAACCCTTAGTTTTCACATCTGTAAAAGGGTGATAAAAACGCACCATGTGAATATTACATGAGCTCTTACCGGCGAAATACTTTTGTAGAGTGCCTAGCACAGGGAATGGGCCTGTTCGTGAGGATTTTTGTTTTGTTTTTGTTCTTTGAGACGGGGTCTTGCTACGTAGTTCAGGCTGGCCTTGAACTCACTGCAATCCTCCTACCTCAGCTGCCCGAGTGCTGGGATTACAGGCATGAGCTACCATACCCAGTTATTTTTGAGGGATTACCGTGATGAGCCTACACTAGTACTTCTTCTGCTGTCCAACCAGAACTGCTGTCCACTCCTTTCTCACAGCTACTACCTTCCTTCAGAGCAGGAACCTTGTTTCTTTCATCCTTCTCTCCTTATGCAAATGTGCTAAAAGAGACTCCCCAGAAGTTAACACCAAGCCATGCACTTCACACATCCATATTGAGACCATTCTATCTTTTTTTTCTACCTACATTTCAGCCAGAGAGACAATATCCAAAGGAAGGATGGGACGAGATCTGATCCCTGTAGTCACTCTGCAGGGACTCTGGTCTGTTGAACATTTACTCAGTTAATCTTTTTATCTCTCTGTTAATAGTTCAAGGAAAACCAAACAAGGGCCCTTGCCTAAGTCAGCTGCTCCTCATTCAGATGAGATTTATGTAACCCAACCAAATACTCCAAGGACGAGGAGATTCTCTTCATTCACCTCCCTGAAATACTGACACCAAAGACAGGGAAGTAAAGGTCAAACCAGCGTAGGGCAGCAATGCTGAAGGTATTTCAGGTTGTCCATTGGTCAGAGAAGCACAGGCCTTTTACATAGGCCTGTACCTTGTATCCCCACCTATTCGCAAGCAGAAGCAGGTTGAAGATTAGGCACTGAGTGTAAGGCATGGCAATCAAATAGCTAAGAGATTCCCAGGGCCCACCCAGGGAGGTCATTTGGACCTTGAGAACTCCAGGTTGAACTGGGAAACATTTATGGAGAAGAATTTTACACTAGTGCTTTGTTCCCAGGAACAAGATACCTCTGCAAATTTCACCTTTGCTTTCAACTCTGCCCTTCCAACTAGGCCCCTAGAAGGAAGCAAGTGTGCAACAAACAGCACAGGCGGATGGGAAAAGTTTTACCTGCTTTCCATAGGTATAAGAATTTCACAACACTTCCGAAAATCTAAGATCAGGCGTCTGAAGGATATGGATATTCAACTACTTGCCCAAGGTCACAACCGCAGTGCATGGCAGAGCCAGCACCCAAACAGCCCAGTATTTGTCTGATGCTAACATCTGTGCTACCTCCATTACACCATCTTGTCCACTTGTGATCATTCCCAAAAAAATAATCATCTGGGGATGGGAAAGCTGAATGTGCTGTAAAACATACACTTCTGTGGGGCTCAGGGTAATGCTTAAGTACAATGGAATGTGCACTTGCTAATCAATCAACAAAATCTCTTTGAGATTCCAAAAGAGAAATCAGAACTAACTCACAGAACCATAAATTGAATATAGATCTAATTATGTGCTCCATCCTGTTTTGATGAAATCAGGAAATCATATCTGGAAGAATGGCCTTGAAGTTTTGTGTATACATTTAACTTGAATATGTATGATATGTATTAGCAAATTAGTATGGAAGTCATGCTGCTATGTGCTGCAAAAGATGGGACCAGCTCAAGATACATGATTAAAAAGTACTTTGGCCCCATGGCTTTCCTAGAATAAAATCCCGTAAGCCTACGGATCTGATGGGGCTACGGGTGGAGCTGACAAGTGGTAAGGAAAGTCCTTGGGACAGTGAAGCGGAGGTCGTATCTAAAACTGTCTCATAAGAGGTAATGCTTTAGATTTGAACATTCTCTATAGGGTCAATCCACCCATCAAGCCCATCCATAAAAGCTTATGATGATAGGGGCTGGGGATTTAGCTCAGCGGCAAAAGCGCCTGCCTGGCAAGCGCAAGGTCGTGAGTTCAGTTGCCGGTACCAGAAAAAAAACAAAAACAAAAAAAAGCTTATGATGATAGGATGATAACACTGGTGACAATAATACAAGGTATTGCCATTCCCTTTTTTAAAAGATGCTGAAGTCACTTGCCCAAGTGCTATGCCCAGTGACTGCTGAAATCCACATTCAAACCCAAATAAGCTTGTGTTCTTAGTCACTACTGTATTTCCCACCATCACTGTAAAAACCATGTTCAAAACACATTAACTGAGAGTCAAATAACCTGAGTTTTTATTCTGTCTTTGTTCCTACAAGATATGGGACCATTGATAAGTCCCTGAACCTACATTAGTTCCAATCTACTTAGCAAAAAATTAATGCAAATGATAATAATAATAGTCTACAAAGTTTTTATGAAAAGCAAATGACACGTTGGTCAAATTGAGATGCTCTATGCAAATGCAGCTTAATGTGTTTTCATGATTTCCTTTTTTTTTTTTTTTTTTTTTGTCTTTTTGAGTCAGGGTCTCACGATGCAGTTCAGGCTGGCCTTGAGCTCACTTTGTAGCCCAGGTTGGTCTTGAACTTGTAATGGTCCTCCTGCCTCAGCCTCCCAAATGCTGGGATTACAGACATGCACCACCATGCCCGGCTCATGATTTTCAACTGTGTGATTAAGACATATGCATATGGAAAAGACCAGCAGGGACCACATGATATTATGCTAAACCACCACTTTAAGAGTGTATCTGAACTCTCAGCAATCTTACTTTTATGATTTAAACTGTGTGAAACTGATATTAACTACTGGTATCATTATTATTATCACCTCTAGGCCTGAATATAGTCTGCTCATCAAAAACTTAGAAGCCTGGATTTTCTGTTCCAAGCCATATGTGGGTGTTCCCTAAAGAAAGCATCTCCAGCAAAGGTAAATGCAGCCCATGTTCACTGCCTGGATTTCATTTGCCAGCAGTGAGTCTCAGACATCGTCCACAGATACTCACATTCATGTTGTTCGTAGGGTGGGTAGCTCAGCCGCACAGAGATCAAGATCAGGAAGATAAACAGAGGCCAGGCCACTTCCAGCAGGAGCTGACACTGAGTAAGAAATAAGACAGAGTAGTGTGAATTTGAAACGTAACATAGTGCCCAATACTACTGGGCTCTGGGAAATGCACAGAAAGTTCACTTAATAATTGGGCAATTTCTCCAGCCTATCACGCCACTCTCTGAGCTTTAGTAACATTGAATTATTTGCAGTCTCACCTTGTAACATACCATTCTGTATCTCTATGCCTTCCTTAAATCAGGGAAGATGCTTCTCTACCTATTTTACCAGGCTCACTTTCTACTCAGCCTTCAGGTACAATGTCCTTTACTAAAATCTTAGTGAGCTAAAAGCCCTGCTCCTGGGCTCCCTCAATACTCTGTGCACCCTTGTCCCACTGCATCTCCCTGAGCCCTCACAGTCACCTGTCCCTATTGTGGTTCATCCCATGGAGCATTTTCCATCACAGAAAACATTCTCTTAAAATATGGCTTTTAATGGCCACTTGATATTCCATTCTATGACAAGCTCATATTAGAACCCTCTGCTACTGCTTGTATTTCCAAGTGTTTGGGGATTTTTGCTTCATTTTGTTTATTATTTATTGTTTGATTTTTGTTATTTTTAATAATTAGCTTTTAATTTCCCAAGACCTTTGGAACAGTTCCACATAAAACTCATTTTGGAATCTTTTATTTTTTTGGAAGGAAGTAAAACAAGAGAATAAGCATGGATGTTCTGGGATCATAAGAACATAGATGGCTTTTTTCAATGCTGTCTTACATTTTCTAAATTCTCCATAACAAATGTGCATTAGTTTTCCAATTAAAAAAAAAACAGTAAACTATAACATATAACTGTAAAACTATAGTTTGTGAAGTCAGCACATCAAGAAAGAAGAAAAGGCAAGAAGACTCTTCTCCAAAAGAAAACATGCTGCTAGCGGGGTCCCCAAGACCAACAGTGGGGCTGGTCTCGCTAAATATTTCTGTAAAGAACTCCAAAGAAGGAGCACACACTGAAATCTCCAAGCTTGCAGATGACATTCAGTCTCTTTTTTAATTCATAGTGAATGTCTTTTTATTTCATGTCCATCTTTTAAGCTGATGTATATCAAAGTATCACATCATACCCCTTAAACATATACAACTTTTAATTGTCAGTTATGCCTTAGTAAAGGTGAGGGGGGAGCCATTTCTTTTCTGCCAAAGAACATAGCAATGACTCCACTATGGAAATGAATTTCTTGCTGGGCGTGGTGACACACACCTGTAATCCCAGCACTCGGGAGGCTGAGGCAGGAGGATCATTGTGAGTTAGAGACCAGCCTGGGCTACAAAGTGAGCTTAAGGCCAGCCTGAACTGCATAGTAAGACCCTGTCTCAAAAAGACAAAAAAAATAAAATAAAATAGAAAATAAAATTCTCTACCAGGTATGTTGGAAGCTGTCTCTCAGTCCCCAGGTTCTCCAGCCCTCTATCAGCACCTGGCACAGCAGGACCCCATTTATATATAAGCGTCTCCCCCAGGGCCACTGTCCTCTCACTAAGCCTGCCACACAGGGCTTAGCAAGTGTTTGTTGGGTAAGAGAAAGAACTAAAGTTTATCAAATAACGAAGATGAAAACAAACTACTTCGGCTTTTGGGGAAGCAGTTTGGCAATGGGTATTCAAGAGTCATGCTTATCACCTCTGACCAAATAATATTCCTGGGAACCTATCCCAAGGAAATTCTAAATTTAAAATATCAAAAAGTTACATACATGAAATTATTCCCTCGTTAAACATTATACTACATATTATTATGAGAATTAAATGTTATCTCATGTAAAAGGCTTAGAATGGAATCTAGCTCATCGTGGCTGCTATCATCATTGTATTATTCAATACGCATCAAACCATTCTTGAGTCACTCTTCAGAGGTGAGTTAAAATCTTACACACCACAGAAGTTCAGTGTCCACCTGAGTGTTCATGCCTAACTTTCACTGCTGGCTGTACAAGCTCATACACCACAGTCTAATCACTATGAACGCATTTAGCTGCCTCGCCTAAGTACATAGTCAAGGTGGACTTAACTTCTCAAGATTTATTCGTATCAGTTCAAGGCTGGGTCAGGGAAAGGGGCATGTTTAAAGATCACAGAAATTCCATGGAATAAAGACCTTGCCCTGTGCAAGGGTCTTCTGACTAACAGTAGCCAAAAAAAGTCAGTTCATGCTGAAAAAAGAAATCATTGTTTTTTAGTACTGAGTTGAAGATGTTTGAAATTTCAATGGGGCACGAAAAAAGAAACAAAAAGAATAAATGTCAAAATGAAAATATCCTTTCAGTTTACAGCATGATCATAAATCTAGCAGAACTAACAAAACTAATGAAAAAGCTGCAAATGAATTTAAAACATGGGTAAGTTCATCAAACCAGGATAAAGTATCCTGGATAAAGCCAGGATAAATTATCCTAAATGATACCACTGCTACTGACCAATGATAACCAGATAAATTAATATGAAGTTGGGGGGGGGAAATACTATTCACAGGAAGAACACAAACAGAAAACTTAGATATTATTAACAGATTGAATATGTGATTCTTTTTACAAAAGAAATTACAGAACTTTAGTAAGATAAACAAAGGGGACAGGAATTAATGAGATCTAAGCCATACTTCTGGATAGGAACATTTAGTGTCCAAATTTCCAAAGCTAATTTATAGATTTAAAGTTTGACTTAAAGTAGTGAAAGACACCTGTAGAGCTTCATAATGTAGTAATATTCACTAAGAAATTAAATGGATGAAAATACCAAAGAATTCTAGGAGACTAAGACAGAAGTATGGGACACAAGCATTCTCAGATAACAGAATATTTAGCAAAGTAAAAGTAGACCCTGAGCAGAATCGACACCAAAGTAATGCACACCCATCAAATAGACAAATGAAAAGGTTCAAAACTGACTCTTGCACAGACCAATGCTATTAATGTTATTAATGCCCCAAAAATAACTGGGTAAGGAATTACTACTGAACAAAAGCTACTGGGATCACATTATATGAATAGAAAAAAATTAATCAGATCCACCCCTAACACCATATATATTTCAAATAGATGTGGAAAAACTAAAGTGAAGTCTTAAAAACCAAATCACACAAATGCTACAGGAGGAAAAAAAAAGAGGTCTGACTTTCTTGAACTGTAGAGCCTGACACACTGATGAATTAGCTCCATCCTTTGGAAGGACATACGGTCATAAACCTCAAGGGTCATTTCTCTTTGGCCTAGTAATTCTACTCATGAGGTTGTGGCCTGAAAAAAGAGTACTAAAGGAAGAAAAGGCTCTGTATATAAAATCTTTAGAGTAATTTATTTGTAACAGAAAACACTGGGAAGAAACTAAATGTTGGCAATAGAGTTTGAATTTAAACAATAAAAAACTTCTTTGATAGTTTACTGTAAAGCTATCCATAATGTCAAGGGCATTATCCCACGATAGATTTAGACCCCAAACTCTAGCCACTCACCTTACTAATTTATTAACTGTACTTTCTTCACTTGTGAAGCAGAAATTGCGATGCATACTCCTCTGAATTACTACGAAATCTGAGATGTAATAGGTATAGGTACTTTCAAGCCAAGCATGGTAGCATGTGCCTGTCATCCCAGCACTCTAGGAGGCTGAGGCAGGAGGATCACAGGATCAAGCCCAGCCAGAGTAATTTAATGACTGTGTGAGACCCTATCTCAAATTAAAAGGAACAGAGGCTGTAGCTCAGTGTGAGGGCCTGGGTTCCACCCCCAGCACCACACACATACACACACACAAGTACTTTCAAAACCACCAACCACAGCCTACACATCAGGAATTAGGACTGTAAATATAAAGGTTATTTGGAAATATGGGGATATATGTACCAAATAATGTTAAATAAAAGAAGAACATAAAATGGTATATAGGTATGCAATGATTATAATTGTTTCCTGGGGTTCTCATCATTCAAGTTCACTAAGTATCAGGTACCACAAGATCCACCCTAGAGCCCCTGGCCCACCCACCTCAGGGACTCCTTTAGCACATGAAATAAAACTGACTACCGGTAGCCTTCTGTTCCCTAGCTAAAAGGCCCTATGCGATCTGGCCCTACCTATACCCAACCCACGCCCCGCTAGCCTTCCTTCACTCCACCAATGAATGCCACTGGATGCTTTGTGTTCCTGGACCCAGGAACAAGCACCGCTGTCTTTCTGTCTGGAACGCAGTGTCTCCATCTTTGAGCCCCTGAGTCTCTGCCTGGCTAACACTGCCGCTCGAATTTCAGGGCTCTGGGCTTAAATGCTATGACCTAATGCAAGGTCTCTGCCCACACCTGTTCATACCATCCTTTGTCTGGCTGTTCCCTTCGTAACTTCACAGCTTCAGTGCTATTCTTGTTTCTGTGCTGCTATGTTCTGGGTCTGCTTCCCTTGCTAACCTGCAAGCTGTGTGGGCAGGGATTGTGTCCACCTGGTTTACTACTGTCTACCTAGCACAACAGCCCACAAGTAACAGACGCCAATAAATGTCTATACAAATGAAGCAAGTGGCTGCTTGTTCTGATTTTCTTCATTCCACATAAGAGAAAACTACAGCTCTGAAGAAATGAGCTTTCCTAGGTCACTGAGGCACATGGTGGCCAAGCTAGGTTTAGAACTGTAACCAATGCTGTTGGGTGAGACCTAAGAGCAGGACAGATTCCATCCACTCTGTAAGATTCTCTACTGATTCAGAAAGGAGATTGGTTGATTTGATAGCCTATTCCTCGTCATTAAAGAGTTTCCAGGTAGTAGTACTCTTAGTTATGCAAAAGTTAGAATTACCTATTTTCCGAGCTAAACGGCTGGTCAGATCTAATTGAAAAATTACAGGTAAAAGCTAAAGAAAAGATACTATTGGGCCACCATCATTTTGTTCCATATGCTCCATGGAGACCTTGGCCTCTGGCTAACCTAAAACCAGATGAGGATCCTGAGAGCTCCGGAGTCCCTCCCACTTCCTGTCCCCAACCCTGTTTGTGCTGAATGACGGCCACCCACACAAGTTAACTGTTACTTTGGACCCAAACTGAGCTTTGCACCCAACTTGCGCAACTCACTTCATTGTACTCTTTGCTTGAGAGAAAACTAACCCTGGTGGATGGTCCCATGGTCTGCAGAATAGAGGCCCAGGAGCGGGGTCTCCAGGACTCGTGAGCAAATAAGGGCACTGAGAAGGGCAAAGCTGCCTAGCAACAGGGCCACTCTGGAATAGGTCTCTCAGCTTCAGGTTTTCATATATGCATTCTATTCCTCCTGGCAGCAGCACAAAAGCACCTTCTCAAGACATCAAAGGTAATGGACCAGCAACACATTTAACACTCAGTCCGCAAATTCCTGCCAAGCGTGTCCCCAAGTGCAAGGTTCTGTGTTGGGCTCTGGGACTAAGTGTATACCTGCCAGGATCTCAGAAGCAGTGAAATACACAATGAATTTCCATGCATTGTGGGCATGAGCCATCAAGGGGCTGCTGACTTCCTCTGCCTAATGGGCAGGACTGGTTCTGACTATGTGAAGTAACAAAGCGGCACCAAAAACCTTAACAGTTTCAGATGTCTAAACAACTTGATCTAGACAACCAAGCCAATGCAGAATAGGAAGTATCCTAGTACAACAGGAAGTAGCTATCAGTCCATATCTCAGGCTGGGGATTATAAAATCTTCAGCAGAGATAAAGCAAAGTCTGCCAAGAAGGGCCTGGTCTGCAGATCAAAAAGAAATTTGTTCTGGTGCTGCTGTTAGGACTGACCCTTTCTGGACCCCAGCATCCCGCTGAGCCTCAGTCCCATCAACTAACTATACAAGGAATAGGACAGATCTTTCCAGCTTTAGCTCTGACTATCTAAGCATCTGTGGCTTGAAATAAACCTCCGGTTTTTGTTTTTTAATTCAGCAAAATGCATTGCCTTTAGAAATCAGGAAGGGAGGTAATTCAAATGGGCTAGCAGGTAGCCCTGTAGCATCTTAAAAAGATCATTTGTGTCACAGGTTCGACCCATACTTCCTTCTTCCACAAAATCTCTGCCACAAATTGCCTCTAATTAGGCCTGCCTATCTTTCTAGCCTATCCCTTTTAAAGGGATAAACAATATTGAGCAAGAAGCAACAAGCTTAAAGCCAGTAGAGACTGGCCCAGGCTGGATGACCCAACCCCACATCCTGTTCCAGGACAGTGTGTTTCCAGCTCTTTTCCTGTCTGAGCACAGAAAATCTCTTCCCTGATATTTCCTCCACCCGCAAGCTGGGCACTGTCATGCAGCTGCAAAGGAGTCAGAAGAAGGAAGAAAAGTCCACTGTGATGGAATGGGATGAGATCTCAGCCTCTAGTCCGAGCTTGGTTGTTGCTTGGCTGACCTTGGGGAAAATCTCTTCCACGCTTTGTGCACCAGGTTCCTCATCTGTGAAATCAGAAGTTTGAGCCCCTTTTTTGCTTGTTAAAATGATACGGTTCTGGGGTCTGGGGCTTTAGCTCAGCAGCACAGTGCCTGCCTGGTAAGCACAAGGTCGTGAGTTCAACTCCCGGTACAGGGAAAAAAAAAAAAAATGATATGGTTCTTACATTTTACTAATGGACACACTATGGCAGAGACGATTTTCCACCAAATGGGCTGCTGCCACCAGGTTGAGAAAAGGCACAGAATGTGGATCACATTGCTAAGCATAAGGATATCTACAAACATACTAGACATGGGAACACAGGGTCTCAGACCAACTGCAAGACGCAGGAGCTAAGGCAAAAAAAAAGTCAAAAACTTCAAGATTGTAGATGGAAGAGAGAAAAAATAAGACTGCTACTAAAAGGCGACCTGACACAGCAATGTACACTACCAACTTTGGAGTCAGATTATTTGGATTTAAATTCTACCTATGCTCCTCATTAGTGAGGTGGACCTCTGGTAACCTAACCTCTCTTAACCTCTCTGCACGTCATATTCCTCAGCTATGACATGAGGAGAAACAGCACTTTATGGGGTCTTAAAAGGAATAATCCACTTAATAACCCTCTTGTATATGGTACACAGAAATTTATTCTAAAGGTTTTTATTTTATTAATATAATATTAGGCATTATATTCTACTATAATTATTACCTAAACATACCAGATGTATCGATTCTATTCTCAATGATTTTGTGATTCAGAATCCCCATCTGTAAAATGATGAGCTGGACAAAACTGGCATTTCTCAAACTAGAAGTGGCAATCTTTTGATGAGTTATACCTGAGTTCTCTATGAGGATGTTAAACATTTTGGGTTTTCATTTCAGTGGTCATCTAAACAAAGTCTGATGAATGTATCTGTTTTTTTGTGAATATTTATTTTAGAATCAAGTTCTGGCACAAGTCTTCAAAGCCTAAGTTTGTATTTTTGTGGGTGATTATGCTGGCACCAGTTTAATTCCAGCAGGCAAATGAGAAAGGAGCCAATTCAGACTCAATTTATCAGTGATGGAATTGGACGAAGTGAAAGCCGAATGACATCAAATGAAAGTTGTTCCAGTAGAAAACTGGATGGAGAATTCAATCATTAGCACAAAGTAGTACAGACTGGCCAAACCCAAGAAGATCAGCAATACACATCTACTACCATATTCACCTTGCAATTTATAACTTGGGTTTCAGCTAAACAACATCAGTAGTCTCACTACACTTATGGTTGTCCTTTTGAATTCTACTGTTTTTGAAATTTTGTTTATATTTAATTTACAAATATGTATCTAGTTTTCATACATAGGAACATACTTAAGGAACAGTATAATAAAGAGAAATTCAGTGAACTCAAGAGTACCTTGACATTTGTGTCCTTTTAAAGAACGTCCAAACATTATTCTACTTTGAAAAACACTGAATTAAATTCTCTTTAAGGTTCTTCACAGCTCTTCTGAGTTCCAGAAAGATGATCATTTTGGTTACAAACAGGTTAAGACAGCCAAGAGGGGTAGGGATGGAGGCTTAGAATTCCGGAGGCAGGACAAGAACCAAATTTAGAGAACTACAGAGAAGTGTGTAGCTAAGCCCAGAAGATTAAGCAGGATCACTAAGAAAAAGTGATCAGAGATCAAGAAGCCAAGAGCTGATGCTTGATCTTCAGGGAGCTTACCCTGTCTATAGCTCTCACATTCATCTGTGGAAAAATATCATTCACCTGTGCATTAAGCATGATCTTCTTAGGATTACCCAAGTCGCTATTGGCCTTCTAGGCAGTGAATGACTTAGAACTCTCCACAGAACTAAGACTAGCCTCCTTTGTGATATTCTTCCAGGCCCGCAGTCAGTGCTGTAAGGAAGGAATCCAGACTGACAGTGAGAGACCGAGGCACTGATCTTGAAGAGATCTTACTCTTTCTTGCATAGTAACTTCCTTTATGAACTCCTAGAAATACAGGGGCCCATGAGGTGCTCTTAGAGAACTAGGGGGCTCCTGGGCTGCAGCCCAAAGAAACAGTGCAGTGACCGGGACAATTCTACGCCCAGGAGCCAGAGATCGGAACTCAGGCCTGGGGCCTAGCACAAACCAAACCCAACATTTCTGCCTGGCTGTAAATCCCTTCTATGTGACACAGTAGGCCACACCAGGACTGTGCAGTCCTGGATCCACAGCGCCAGATTTGCTTACTATATGAAAACCAAGAGCACTCCCTTCCTCCCTCCCTCCTCTACCCTCAACCCAACACTGTGGAGAAAAGCCTGAGAGAAGCCCCCCAAGAAACCCACACTTACTGTTTGTCTTCTTCTAAAAGTCAGGTTCTTCCACAGCAGCAGCCTCAGCTGAGGCCAACACGCCATGTTACCACCCCCAACACCGCAGAAGCTTGTGTGTGGCTTGGGAGCCCTGGAGGCGGCGGCCAGAGCTCACGGCAGGGACACCGTGGCTGGTCATTAACTGAAAGATAAAGGAGAGAAAACCATCAGTCAGTTACTACTGCAAAGCCATAAGCCAATGAGGGCAGTCACTGCAACCCTCTCACCAAAGACCTCGAGCACCCAAGTCCTCATCAGGACTGCTCCTCCACAGATCAGGGGTCTGGACTCCCAGCCTGAGGGTTCTCTAGCAAACTTGGCTTTAGGAGGTTACCTGGCAACAGCCTGAGAGCTAGTCCTATGGTCCTAATCACTTTAGCTCTATTTGTGTGATCATTTGTGAATGAAGACAGAGTGAGTGATCTCAGGTGGCCAAAACACTTCAGACGGAAATGGCATGATGGAATCCCAGAGACAGGCCCCACTTCGCTAAGTAAGAACCTCCCCTCTTATATAAAATGTTGGCAGCATTTATAAATTTGCCTCAACTCTGTAGTGACTCATGCTACTCCCTAAAACTCACTGCAACACAAAATTTTATCAGGCCACAAAGTTGGGTCCTTTCAGTGATAAATGGCACCATTCAATAAAGCTATTTCCTAGTCTGGAAAGTCTCAGTACATCTTAGATGACTGGGTGTAAACACCAAAAGAATGTCACCAACACCTGGCTCCCAGGTGAGAAAGACAACCCTAGTGCTGAGTCTGTCTGGGAAGAAACATTATTCCATAGAGAAACAAGCCTACCGAGGCAGGTGCAAAATGGTGTCTGCGAAACTGACAAGCTCCCATGGTCAGGGACATACGCACACTTCTGGCCTTGCTCCACCTGTATCTCAATATGTGACCTGGCTACTGCTTGTCTGGTATCACAGGTGCCTCTTTCGGAATATTTCACCATGCAAGAGCAAGAAGGGGTTCTCATGAACAAGAGATACAGCATTCTGTGTATTCCAGTTGCCCACCCAGTAACTATATTTATTTAATGCTGGAATAATCCCAAATAATCATTCTAAAGTTAAAGCTGGAGAAGAGGAAGAAAATGTAAAGCAGAAGAAGGGAGAGATATACAAGATGTTATGCATCTAGATGCCTCCCAAAGCCTCATACAAGCATAGGTGGGGCTTTTCAGAGGTGGCTGGATCTAGAATGTGTGATTCTGGGATTAAGTATGTGATGCTGGGATCAGGGTGTGTGATTACTAAATTAGTCCACTGATCGGCTTGGTATAGTTCTGGGAGTGGATAATAGGAAGGCCCTTCCTGGGTGTGAGTGAGCCTGGATAAAATATAAGGGAAAATATAAATATAGAATATAAGGGCTTATATATAAGCTTATAAATATAATATATTTTATTATATTAAAATATAATATAAAATATAAGGGCTTCACTACTTCACTGGTTGCTGCTTTGCTGCCTTCTGCCTGCCATGAACAGTTTCTCCCCTGTGATGCTCCTCTGCCACGCCTCTTTGCCTTGGAGCCCGCCAACTATGAACTGAAACTTCTACAAACTGAGCTACAATAAACCTTTCCTCCTCTAATTTTGGGTATCAGTTATTCTGTCTCAGCAGCAAGACAAGTAACTAAGAGATATGGTAAAGCTAGTCCAGTTAGCAATTGGTAGTCATGAACCCTTGAGAGATACCACTTTTATTTATGAAATGAATGAGTTAATTTTTGTGACTTGTAGTGGCATGGGTGTAAGGTGGGACACTGGGCTTAAGAAACCAATAGCAAAAGGAGCTAAGACTCTAGTAACTGCTACGAATACAAAACCAAAAATGAGGCAGACCATTCACAAATCCAAAGGAGATCTCAATGCAAACATGAACCTCTAATAGAATCTTACCCTTTTGTTTCCTACCAAACAAGGTCTTAGATTAAAAACTTCTAGAAAAGAAATTGGTAGCAATTTGTCATGTCTGAGAAGAGATGACCTGCAGCTTTGTAATTCATTCATTAGATATCAAATAAACCAGGAATTCTTCTTTAAAAATCTATCTTTTCTTTACCATTTGCTCAGCAAACTTCTAAGGAACACAGATCCCTCCCCACACACAAAGTTGCTTATTTTAAAAACAGGAAATTTTAAACCAGCACCACCACATCAGTTGGCAGTAAATTGTTTAAAAATGTCAACTGGCCTCACAACACCAAGAACCAGCATTGCTCTGTGGGAAGCATGCTTAAAATCTTCTCCCCTTTTTTTGTAAATGGCTTAGGCTAGGGTTTGCATTCCAGAAACAGATAAATAATTAGCTAGATTTTCCTCCTACGAAAGCTGCTCTCCAGGAATCACTTAGTTGGTTTATAAGCTACATGAATCTTTTCAGATCCCCAGGTAACAATGAGGAGACTAGAATACAAGTCTGCTATTAAAAAAGTAAAACTAACCTAGCAGAAGAAGCCCAGACATGAATTAGCCCCGGCTTCCCAACCATGGGTTGCTGGCAAGGCTGTTACGCTCTCGGAGCATCAATTTCCTCACTATATAATTCGGAGATGACAATACCTGCTTTGTATGGTGTTTTAAGGATTAAATAATATAATATAAGTAAGTTCTCAACACAGTACATGGCATGATGTAAGTGCCGAAGAAATATAAGTTCCTTTCCTCCCAAAGGAGTTTCTCCATTCTATCAAAATCCTTTAGCAGAAAAATAGTCATATCCTGTCCAAATGAGGCATTCCATTATTTCTAGCAAAATCCATTGTGAATTCTTGTAAAGGTAGGAGAATTAAAGTAGGAAATCAAAATCTGAGTAGGCTGGTGTTGAGGTCCCCAGGGCCAAACCTCAGCACAGAAAAGCCTCCCTACACCCTGAGCGGGGAAGCTCAGAGGAAGAGGAGATACCTACACAGGATGTTCATTTAAAAAGGAGAAAAGAAGAGCCAGGAGGAGTTTTCTTGGAAACCATTTTCCCAAACGTTGCAGCTTCCAGGTCTGTAAATTAGGTCCTGACTCCAACAATCCCTCCCCCACTCCCAGGAAACACACTGAAGAGATTAGTAAGGAGTATCCCAGAACAGCAGTAGGAAGTATTCCTCTAGCTTTGCTGTGTGCAAACAGGTAAACTTCCTGCCCTAATTCCTCCTCGCTTAGCAATTCCCAGCCTGCAGCATGATTTCTACCTCTGCTACATCTCGGAGCACAATAATCAGTGCTGGGAGCAGCTCCATAAAAGAAATCTGGCAATGCCTGAACTCTTCCGTCCAGGTAACCACAGCCAAAAGGACATTTCCACATCAGTTTTTCAAGGAAGTGAACAAACAAAGCACAACCAGAAACGAAAGTAGTACCATGTACTGGATTTCTCAATGCTTCAAAGCGCAGCACGCTCACTCCTGCCCTTGTGCACATTTCCAGTTACCGGCTGGCAAGGATCCCACTTCACAAGCATCATGAATCAATAGGCCACTCTCATCTTTCTCCTGAACAACAGCCACTCCTCTGGCCTGCCCACCTCCAGGTTGCCACACCCCTACCCCTTTGACACAGAGCACCCAAAGTTGTTCAACTAACCCAAATATCTGAACACGCCATTCCCCACTCCTTTGTCAACCAGCCACCACTCTGCAGATGGAACCCAGTCCTCCCCCAGGGTTGACTGGGCTTCCCTACCGGGTCTCCAGCCCGTTCTCTGACCATCACCTCACTTTCCTTGCACAGCAGTGCCTTAGAGTTCTGAATGACAGGCTCAATATGTGCTGCACACTGTTGACTTCTACTGCTGGGACTTCAGTGGTGCAGGCTTGAACATCCTATCTAGCACCATCAGCCTGGCTAACTCTTTCCCAACCTTGGGCTTCCACTTAGCTGTCACTGCCCCAGCCACTCTTTTCTGATCACCTCCCTTGCAAGGTCATTGAGTTAGGAGCTCTTTCCGGGTGCTCTGGGACCAACCTCAATTTTCCCTTCCCTCCTAAGTCAGCAAAAGGACCATCCCTGCTTCTTTCAGCACTGCTTTCCTGGTATGCAAACATAGTACCAGTCTGCAGTAAGCACTCTGAGAATGTGTGCTTAATTAATTAACACGAAGATGGACACATGAAATAGGATTTCAAAATTCTAGGGTGATGGCATTCCTGGGCATGTGATAACTGATTTCTCAAGCTTGATTAACTGATTCAGGCAAACCGTCCCTAGAGAGGGAGCTCTGTGTTTAGCATACACGCACTACAGACTCCAGAGGGTCATAAAGGACTACTGAGCTTCTAAGGTGACCCCTGGGGCATCCTGGAAAATGTAATTGAATCTATGCTTGCTCCCCATAGACATCAGGTTTAGCTGAGGGCTGACCTGCCCTCCCAAGGCCATCAGGGTCATGAATTCGGTTTTCCGCACATCCTCACGCTCAAGCTCTAAAGGCCAGTCCCTCTAGGTCTCTCACCAGTCACCTAGGTAGATTACTTCTTGCCAAAATTTGGTAATTTCCACATCCCAATCTTGTTTTACATAGTGTGGACCAGAAGAAAATAGCCTTTGACCAATTTTTTTAAAAGTTTACTTCAACTGCCATTGATAGTTTGAAATTATTCATATCTATAGAACACAAAAGACTGCTATAATATAAACTTCTCAAATAAACAAAAGCTACTTGATTAACATCATTTGTTACACAGAAATGCAACTAAAACTATAATGAGGTATCACTACACCCCTACTAAATTAAAAGGTTAAAAAGTGCCAGGGAGCTTGTGGAGCAACTAGAATGCAACATACTGATTGTGGGAATGGAAAAGCCACTTTGAAAAAGTTTGGATGTTGCTTGTAAATAAGTACATACACTTGTGATAAGGCCCAGCCATCCCATCCTAGGTATTCACCCCCCAAAATAACAGCATATGTCCACACAAAGACCTACATGTTAATGTTTATTGAAGGCTTCCACAGAATAGCCCCAAACTGCAAACAACCCAAATGTCCATCAGCAGGCACATAAATAAAAGTGGAATACTGCTTAGCAACAAAAGGAACAAACTACTGATACATGCACCAATGTGTTATCTTGATAACCTTTTGCTAAGAGAAACAAGCTGGATGCAAAAGAACTACACACTGTATGATTTTATTTATGAC